AGAGAGAGAAAGTGACAGTAACCTGTGTACATGTACATGTATTGATATAAAATGATGCTGAGCTAGTATGATATACATGCAACTGTATAACAATCATATATGTACATTATATTTATGCCACAATTTATGTGCATACATGTACTACATGTACCGTATTTCCTTAAATTTAAAAGCCTGGGCTTCTATTTCCTAAAATGGTATTTGGACCTCAAAAAATTTAAAAAATAAAAGAAAACTTGGGCCCAGAGCAGGATTCGAACCAGTGAGCTCACACATTTGACATCAGGAAGTATCTACAAGGCATCGGAGTGACTTGAGGGCTAGATTTGCATATTTATACTCCAACTGTATTGCTACCCTGGTGTTATTCGCATCCAGCTTTTATTTAAGGATATACATTACATGTACAATGTATGTATGATCATGTACTTACAGTAGAGCCTTTAGCTCCAGCTTGTACCATTAGCTGTAGAGAATTACTGGGAAATGGTTTATGTAAACCAACAGGAATACAAGCACTGGGCATGAGAGAGAGGGAGAGAGAAAGTAATAATAAAAGGAAAGATCAAGAGAGAATGGAAGTATGTACATGTACATGTACAAATCACTATAAAATCAGATGGATTAATTACAAGCACTCTTGCTTCACAAATTCATGTTGTACTTACACGTTAACTTTATTATTGATTTGATCAGTTTTCTTTTTCATGAAGAAATCTAACACTTTAAGACCATCTCTACCAATAGTGTGATGAACATCAGTGTACTTCTCTATCACTAAATCTATTGGAAACAAAAAACAATAAAAATAATAAAAATAGGAGAACAATATGTACCTTTATCTTTAACATTTTTAACAACAAAAGCATCGGCAGCTGCTTCAAGCCCACAATCTCTACCCTCAGCAATAATTTTAAATCTCTCTTTATCTGCCTAGAGGACAAAGCGAGAGAGAAAGAGAAAGAACGATGGGAGAAAAGAAGAAAAAATTCATGCACTAACTACAAATTATGACAGTTCACAACTACTATATACATGTACAATGTACCATTGGTTTCACTAATATGTCTTCCACTCCTAGACTAAACCCGTGATAGAGTTTAAGGAAACCAGTGAAGATCCTACCAAGAGCTGACAACAGATAATTACACATGATACCTCCATACAACTACAGAAAGGAATAATGGTAATAAATTATTTTAATTATCATTAATACCTCATAGCAAGAGTGAACAAAGCCAAACTGAGAAGCACCAAATTGTGAC